TATTTGAACTCATTAGCTGTTGTTCACCTGAAAGCAGGCAATGCATAGAAGACCGTTCATGAAAAGAGCGCCCGTGGGCACATGGAGAGAGTAAGCACACAGTTTAAAATTTGGAGTGTGTTTTTGAATTTGATCTCTCCCATGGGCACCAGATGAGAGCAAAATCTCAGTCTCACTGTAATTTTAGCCATGTTTTACCGCAAATGATATATATTTAGATATGGAGAGAGCAACTCGTAAAATGTTCGTATCTATGAACAAAATTAAAGCAAAGCTTTTGCATTGGTATTGGATGACTGAAACTGTTCCATCTTAGAGATATATGAAATATTTCTTATATTTTGTCCACAGAAGAAAGCGTGTAGGAGGCCTTCTGTTCACAGAAGACTTGTAGATGGTATTCGGTTCATAGAAGACCCATAGAAGGTTGAAGAAATGTCCAAAGAAAGCGCATAGAGGATCGTCTGGAATACCTTATGTTAATAGGAGACCTGTAGAAGATATTTTAAAGAATTGAAGAAGGTCTTCTGCCCTCAGAAAATCTGTCAAGGTATTTAGACCTTTAATATCTTTCTGTCTACATTAGGAGCGAAGAATATCACCTGTCGTCAGGAGGCATGTAGAAGTAATTACGTTCTTAGAAGATCTGTAAAAGGCACCCTGTCCACAGAAGACCTGGAAAATATATTCTGTCAACAGATGATCTGCATAAAGTCTTCTGACTATAGAAGACCCTTGAAAAATTCTGGGGCTATGGAAAACCTATAAAATTGTCATAAGAAAATCTTCGGGAATACCTAGTGTCAATAGAAGACTTGTAGAAGATATTCTAAAGGATTGAAGATGGATTTCTGCCCACAGAAAATCTGTCAAGGTATTCATACCTTTAATATCTTCCTGTCTACAGAAGGAGTGTAGAGGATCTCCTACCCACAGATGACATGTAGAAGTAATTACGTCCTAAGAAGATCTATAAAAGCCCCCCTGTCCACAGAAGACCTGGAAACCATATTCTGTCAACAGATGATCTTCGTAAAGTCTTCTGACTACAGAAGACCCGTGAAAAGTTCTGAAGCTATAGAAAACCTATAAAATTGCCATATGGTCATCTTCGGGTATACCTTCTGACCTGTAGAAGATACTTTAAAGAATTAAAGAAGGTCTTCTGCCCAAAGAAAATCTGTCAAGTTATTGATACCAGTAATATCTTCCTGTCTACAGAAGGAGTGTAGCAATTAAGTAAAACAAGTAATTACGTCCTCAGACGATTTGTAAAAGGCACCCTTGTCAATAGAGTCTTCTGACTACAGAAGGCCCAGAGGCTATAGAAGACCTCTTAAATTGCCATAAGAATATATTTATACGGGGACCTATATTTCTAGAACGTCTTTTAATTACAGAGGACATAAGAAGATTTTCTGTCCAATAGAAGGTCTTTTGTCTGTGGAAGATCTGGAAATATCTTCTATCCCATGAAGAAGGTCAATAAAAAGTCCATAAATTGACTTATGGGGTTCGAAACTTGGGTGGTACCTGAATCATGGTGCCAGCTATAGCAAATCAGTTGGAGAAGATATTCTTTCAACAGAAGGCCTGTAGAAAGTCTTCTGATTACATCGGATTCTAGAAGATCTTCTGTCACCTGAATAATTGTGGAAGATTTCCAAGCCTTATAAGATTTATAAAAGAGCATTTTCCATAAAGACATATTCATACCGGATTCTTTATTGAAAGAAGATCCTATATTTATAGCAGATCGCAGAAGTGATTCTGTCTAAAGAAGATTAAGAGAAGGTCTTCTGTCTAGAGAACATGTGTATAAGGTCTTCTATCCACTCAAGTGGTGTAGAGGGTCTTCTATTAATGAAACCATCATAAATTTCCTCATACATTACGAAGGGTGTATGGTGTTGAATTGTGGTGTCAGCTGTATCCAATCAATTGTCCTATGCCTGAAAGCATGCACCAGTTTTTGTATTTTTACTTAACTAAATTTCATTTAATTATCCTCCTCCAAAATACATCAAAGCTAACATGAAATTTATCATCTGTCTCAAATCAGCTGATTTGTGCCTGAAAGTATGCAGTATTTTTTAAATTGAATCTACTTACTTACCCATTTCAAACCCAACCATATCTTTACCAAAATTCTTTAGGATTAAATTATTCTAATGAATTTTTTATCCAGGATTTCGAATGAAACTTGATTGCTCAGCTGTCGTCAGCCTGCATCATCAGTATGCACCAATTTTTATATATTCAGTTTTAGCACATTTCATTGATTTTCAGTTTAAACCCCCTAACTTTATCTCTGCCACAATTCATCAAAATTAAATAATTTTAATGGATTTTTTTCTTTTGGCTTGCAAGCCTTGACTTGATGATCAAAGCATCATTGACTTGCAATAATAATTGCTTTTCAAAAGTCTTTTGAATTTTTTTTTTCATCTTTTTGGAAATTGTTGCTTAGTCTGCAAGGGGATTTGTTGTTGCAAGATACCTCTCCAAAAATTGTGTTTTTTGTTTTGCTTTTGCAAATGCCATTTACGCAAATGCGTTTTTACGTTTGAGAAACACAGCCAACCGCCAAGTAATGGCAAAAGACAACAAAATTAACAAATTTGCATAATGTTCATTAAAATCCATGCAGGTCTAATGATGTTCGCAGAGAAAAGACATCAAAAATGAAAATCGAGTGCATTTTGACATTTAGAAGGTAAAGAGATCTGCAAACACTCAGAAACCCATACACTTGCAGATCTTGCATATATTTGAACCGGATCTACAAACAATTTTTAATTGCTTCGATAACAGAAACCAAAATAACTAGAAGCCACAACAAAATCCAAAAAACAAATCAGATAACAAAAAATACATTTTGAAATAAAAACACAATGATAGAAGTGGGGAGAAAAAAAAACACAATAATTTGTCATTTCAAATTGGCATTGTGTTGGTTGTTAACACAACATCACAAACAAAGTATTTCCTCTTTTTGGCCAATTGACTTTTTTTGGGAATCTGCCTGGCTGAAAATGATGTCAAGCCAGGTGAAAGATGATATTGTTTTTTTCGAATTTAAAATTAAAATAAAATAAATTTCATAAATTATGGGTAATATCTTGGAAACCAAGTTAAACCACTTCGACTTCGCCTCCGTTCTTGTTTTAATTTATTGTTATGCAAATTAACCAAGCTTAGAAAACGCCAACTAGTTCTACAAATTCTAGTTGTGAAGAGAACAAAAAAATTCCAGATTTTTTTTATGTTTTTCGTGTGTGACAATATTAAAAAAAGGGAGAAACCAAAAATATTCAAAATTATATAAAATAATTATTTAAAAATTATATATATGTATGTATTTTTTTATAATTTATTGATGCAGGTTCCTGTTTTCATAATTTTAATGGCAACAAACAAAAATAATTAAAATATTTGTGAATCTCTCTGGTATGTTTAGGAAATAAATTATTCAAAACGCTCTTTGATCTTTACAAATTTTGAAACAAAAAAAAAATTAAAATTGGAATTTATTCCATGAGTGCCAAAATTTTTTAAAACATTTTTCATTTTCCCCTGTTAACATTGCCAATTTCTTCCACAAAAAAAAGAAAAAAATGTAAAACACATTTTCATTGAATACCCTCCACCATTTGAAACGAATTTGGCAATTTACAAAAAAAAAAAAGAATAAATAAAATTATTTTAATCTCGAAAATTTCGCTAAAATCATCAAAATACCATATATAGCGGGGTACCGTTATATGGCGGCTATAAGAAGACGTAGACCTGCCCAAACAATTTTCAGTCTTAGGCTATAGTATCCATTTCGAACGTCAAATACCAAATCTGAAACAATTCCGGTGAAAAATTTCGCTAAAATCATCAAAATACCGAATATCGGGAGGTACCGTTATATGGGGGCTATACGAAGACGTGGACCTGTACAGACAATTTTCTGTCTTCTGATGTAGTATCTATTAAGAACTTCAAATCACAAATTTTAAACAATTCCAATGAATAATGTCGCTAAAATCATCCAAATACCGAATATCCGGAGGTACCGTTATATGGGGGCTATAAGAAGACGTAGACCTGCACAGACAATTTTCTGTAATAGGCTGTAGTATCCATTTCGAACTTCAAATACAAAATTTGAAACAATTCCGGTGAATAATGTCTCTAAAATCATCAAAATACCGAATATCAATTTCTAATAGGTCTTCTCCATGTCTCCTTCCAGAGACACTCTGAGAAAATTTTTTGAATTACTCTCCCTCTCTCTGTATTTACATTGTATGTCTTAAAACATTGTTTAACTGAAGCGAAATTTTGTTTTTATTCGCATCGAGAGCCCATGGGCGCCCCTTGGCTTAACGGTGGTAAACAAGACATTCTATAATTTTAGGCTAACAACAGCTAATGAGATCAAATCATGTTTTCATATGTTGCCACGTAGTCTGAGAAGTCTTCTCCAGGTCTTCTATTAACAGTAGACCTTCCAGAGATCTTCTGAGAAAAATTTCGAGTTACTCTCCCTCTCTCTATATTCACATTGTATGTGTTATAAGATTGTTTAACTGAAGCGAAATTTTGTTTTTATTCTCATCTGATTCCCATGGGCGTCCCTTGGCTTAACGGTGATATACAAGACATTTTATGCATTGCCTACTTTGCCACATAGTCTGAGAATTCTTCTCCAGGTTTCAGAGATCTTTTGAGAAAATTTTTCGAATTACTCTCCTTTGCTCTATACTTACATTGTATGTGTTTTAACATTGCTTAACTGAAGCGAAATTTTGTATTTACTCTCATCTGGTGCCCATTGGCGCCCCTTGGCTTAACGGTGATATACAACACATTGCCTATGTTTAGGCGAACAACAGCTAGTGAGATAAAATCATTCATTTTTATTTTCCTTAAACAAATTGAATTTTTAATTTTTTTTATTTTATATATCCAAATATATTTATATTATTATTATTTTTTTCCATTTCCAGGCCATCGCTTGCATTTTAGTGCAATGCGCAATATCTGTCAAATTAGATTCAGAAAATCGTCGTCTCATTCTTGACATTAAAGATCAAAAGACGACCAATAAGCAATATTATTCTTCCAACTTCGATACCAGTAAGTACAACCAGTTCTTTTTCTCAAACATCACAACATCCCTATGAAAAAAAAAAAATCGAAATCAAGTTCAAATAACCCCCAACCCCTAATCCTATCCTCCTCATATATACATATGAAAATCATGTACAGAAAAAATTTGTATTGTAATATGAGGGGATGAGCATGAGATGGTTCTGCTTTCGGCTTATTACAATTACTTTTATGAAGAGGCTGAACAGACGTTTTCCGTCAAATTCGCCTACTTATATTTATGTGAAAGAATTCTTGACAGACGTTATACGTCAAATCTGAATATCTTCCAAACGTAATATTATTTATTAAGGAATATAATTTTATAATTACTTCCCCACTTATCACCAATTAAAAGCGGGTATGTTTATTTTATTATGTCTTTATTGAACAAGATTCGCAAGCAGAATGCCAGAATATCGACAGATCATCGTTACTTATAGGAATATTACAATGTAACAAAATAAAGTTAACGGGATCAAAATAAGACAAAGAGAAAACATAAATGGATTACATGTTGATTTGTTGTTGCAAAATTACGAATTGAGTGTTTCATTAACAAATTGAGTGAAACTATAATTATAGCAAAATGAGATTTTGTCAAATGAGTATAATGGAAATAATAACAATCATGATCATAAAAATAGCAGTGATATAATTAAAGTAATTTCATTTCAATTTAATATGATAAATTAAATAAAGCTATAGTGATGTGAACTAAAATATATTTTGGATGAGAGTCAGCACGTTACAACCTCCCCCTCTGCCATAGAAGTCGTCCCGACGATGTGGCAGGATCTAAGTCATCTTTTCCGTGGGCGGAGTACTCTTCTAGTGCAATCAATGGTTTCAGAACGACTTTTAGTTTCCTCATTGTTTGTTGCACTATTTGTAGTGTTACAGTCTTGTTGTTTGTCTTTGAAGATTTGTATATTATTGTTTGGATTTGTTGTTTTTGAAGCTGGGCGACCTCTCTTTCTTAGTGGGTATATTGGTTTATCAGTTTTACCGTCATACTTCGTTAATTGAGATATATGGTACGTTCCCATAGGGATTTCAGGATGTTCGATGGATGAAATAATGAAACACGAGGAACCTTTTTTATCGGTTATTAAATATGGACCGTCTCTTCGGGGTACGAACTTCGAAGCTATATTTTTATCAGCATTACTTAAAACGTGTGTCGCCACTAAAACTTTGTCTCCAATTTCCAAATCTTGACCTTTTCTACGCTTTGAATCCACATAAGCTTTGTTTCTGTCTTGCAATTTTTCAACCGATTCGTTAGCCTTTTCCATAACAGTTGCCATTTTCAACAAAAAAGGAGTTATTTGAGGTATAAAATTTTCGGACAGAATAACAGCTTTTAAATCGAGGTTTACTTCTAATGGACTCCTTAATTCACGACCAAATGTTAAATAAGCTGCAGAATATCCTGTGCTCTCGCAATTAGCAGTGTTCATAGCAAAACGAATCGAAGAAAGTTTGGAATTCCAGGATGTATGATCTGTGCCTACATATATAGCAAGTTGTGTTTTTAGGTCACGATTTTTCCTCTCAACAGGATTAGCTTCCGGGTGATACACAGGGGTGAAGGATTGTTGTATATTTAAGCAATATGTCAGTTTCTGCATGATCGCTGATATGAACTGTGGACCATTATCTGTATGTATCCGTCTTGGGACTCCGTAACGCAATATAATGTCATTTAATATGATTTTTGAGCAAATTTCAGCAGTAGCCTCTCTGATTGCAAACAATTCCACCCAACGACTGCAAATATCTTCTACTACGAGAATCCACTGATTCCCTTTTTGTGTACGTGGCAATGGACCAACGAGATCAATGGCAATAGTTTCGAATCGTTGTCTACTTGATACAGTTTGAAGGAGACCTACCGGTTTTAAGTTTGATGGTTTATAACGCTGACATTGCGGGCATTCTTTGACGTATTTGGTTATTTCAGATCGCATTCTCGGCCAATAGTAATTTTGCGTAATCCTGTTAATTGTACGCTCAATTCCGTAATGACCTGCCAATGGGTCGTCATGACATCTTTTTAATATATCCGAACGCATAGATTTTGGAATAACCAACTGTCCTAATTCAGAATCCTGATCAGAACAGTATCTGTATAGTACACCATCCACCAGAATGTATCCACGGCCTGTGTGTCGCAACACGTTATCATCATTGGTTTCGAATGAGTCTATAATATGTTTTATATCGCCGTCTTGCAATTGTAGGTTTCGTACATTTGCAGCACCTTTTGTGGGGAAATCTACTGATATGGAAAAACATTCACATTTAACATCAGTGTGAGTTTCTACCGGACAGGGAGGACGAGAGAGAGTATCGGCTACAACATTTTCTTTTCCAGGGGTATATCCAAATTTTATATTAAATGATTGTAGCTCTAGAGCCCACCTTGCTAAACGCCCTGTTGGTGATTTTAGTGAGAACAGCCATCTTAGAGGTTGGTGGTCTGTAAGAACATTTATAGTGGAACCTTCAATGTATCCCCGAAATTTCTTCACAGCCCAAACAACCGCTAAGGCTTCTCTCTCCGTAGTCGAATAGTTACGCTCGGCAGGCTGCAACAAACGGCTGGCATATTCTATGGGGTGTTCATCTTCTTTCTCCCCCTGCATCAGAACTGCTCCAAGCGCATAATCGCTAGCATCGGTTTTTAAATTGAATGGCTTATCTTCACTGACTTGTTTCAGGATTGGAGGAGACGACAACATCATCTTTAATGTCTCAAAAGATTTTTGCTGGTCTTCCCCCCAAATAAATTTTGCGTCTTTCTTTGTTAATTTAGATATTGGTTTCGATATATTAGCAAAGTTTGGGATAAAACGTCGGAACCACGAACAAGTTTGAAGAAAAGACAACACTTGCTTTATATTTTTCGGGCGTGGTCTTTGCATAATAGCGCTAGTTTTATTCGGATCTGGCATCAGTCCTTCGGCCGTTAAAATGTGACCAAGATACTTAACTTCTGACCTGCAGAAGAAAGACTTACTACGGTTAAGTTGGAACTTGAATTTCTGTATTTTCTCGAAAACCAATTTTAAATCCTTTATATGACTCTCAAAAGTTTTAGAGCATATAATAATATCGTCTATGTAAGCCAAAATTAAAACTTGTGGCAGACTGTTTCTGAGTTTATCAATAAGTCTTTGAAAAGTTGCCGGAGCATTTTTGAGTCCGAACGGCATTCTTTTGAAAATATAAATCCCAAACGGTGTAGTAAACGCAGTTTTGACCATGTCTCGCTCAGCCAATTTTATCTGCCAGTAACCTGATTTTAGATCTAGGGTTGACATGTACGACGTGGCTTTAGCTGCATGTAATAAGTCATCCATACGAGGCAAAGGATATTTATCAGTTACTGTGATGGCATTTAATTTTCTGTAATCTACGCATACTCGGATTCCTCCAGTTTTCTTTGGAACAATGACGACAGGAAAAGCCCATGGCGATTCCCCTTCTACAATAATGTCCTTTTGCAACATGTCATCAATCTCTATTTTTAGTTTTTCTTTCATGGCTGGGGAAATTCTGTAAGGAGGACATGATATGGGAGCATTATTACCCGTATTTATATAATGTTCAATATATGGGACCGTATCCATTTTGTCTTCAAAAATTTCCTTTACATTTGTTAACAATTTTTCAATGACTTCTTTCTCTTGTAAGGACAAGTTTGTTCCTTCATCATCCTTCAGAACGAAATCAAACGCATTTAGTTCAAAAATGTCAACTGAATCCCTTCTTCGTTTCATGGGAGGAAATAATTTGGAATCAATTTGTGGCTGATAGTTTTGGGGAACAGAGTCTTCAAAAATTCGATTTATAGATCTAGGCGAGTAATCTGTGACGTTGTTAGAGGTGGTTGCATTGTTTTGTTCGATCAGTGATAAATAACTATTTACTGCATTTTGATCCTTTATGTTGGTATGTGTTATTGGTATCGAACGTATTTCACAAGGGTTATTCATTTTAAACTCGAAATTTTTATTGGGCTCATCTTTGAAATGCCAACATCTATCTGCCAGGTCCAAAACAATATTAGCTTGTTCCATAAAATCTATTCCAATCAGTGTTCGGTTATCTTTAGCTTTGGGTAAACATATAAAGCGTATTTTCCTGAAACGTTTTCCAATGAGAATTTTGACTATTGTGGAAAATACTGTTTCCTGCCGAGGTATTCCATCAGCTAAAATAATTTCTGCCGAAACACTTTGAAATTCGACCTTTCTTTCCTTAAGCTTTTGAAAAAGTTTATATCCTGCTACACTGGTTCGGGCTGCCGTATCAAAATACGCTTCGCCGTCCATACCATCTATATTGATCACAACTGTTGGTACGTTTCTGCCCACAATGGTAGTGGAAAGGGAATTAAAATCCAATTTTTCTGGACTATTTATTGTGTTTTTGTTTTTGTTGCAGTTTGGGCAATTCGCTCTAAAGTAGCCAGCTGCACCGCAACCGTAGCAATTTATTGCCTGTTCTCGTTCTTTGGTATTACCTCTCCTGTCCGATTCTATCTTTTTGTAGCATGTATCAATTGTATGATTTTTCTTTCGGCAAAAGGAGCATCGAATATTAGGTCTTTCAAACGATTCGGGCCTCGGTTTAGGCATATTATTTTCTTCACGAAACATTTCAATATCTCTAGCCTTATGAAGCAAATCTTGAAACGTTTTTACATCATCTCTAGATAATTTTTCCCTTATGAACACATTAAGTTGAGAGAAGATTATGTTGATCATAGTCTTTTCTGACAATCTATCAGACAGTTGAGCAAAAAGTCGACGTTTTCGACATATAAATGAGTCGGTGGATTCAAGAATTTTCTGCTTATCCTGCGTTATTTCTGCAAATATACGCCAATCGGGCTTTGGGGGAGAAAATGCTTTGCGCAAAAAATCAATAGCCATATCAAAATTTTTAGCCTCATGTTGGACTCCTTGCCACCATGTGGATGCATAACCTTCCAATAACAGCGGAAAACTTGTTAATGCTAAATAATCCGATACATTTTGGGCCTCTTTATAAACGAGTATTGTGGCTATGAAACCTTCCACTTTCGTCGTGTTACGGCCACCGTTAAATCTTGCACTACAGTTAACAAAAGTGGTTTTTGGTTCTGTTTTTGCATTAACGTTATTCATAAGTTGATGAAATTGGTCCTGGGTAAGTGTAACGTTTACGGGGTTGTTGTTAGAAAGGCTACTATTATCGACAATTGTGCTAGTTTGTGACATAGAAGATTGAGCTGACAATATGACATTCGGCGAAACATTTTCGTTACGCAATAGCGGATTCGGTATGTCATTACCAGGGTTTTGTGCAACATCCACATTTTGCGCAGAATTAGGGTCACTATTTGATCGGATTGGAGCAGAAAATTGACTTAAAGGAGCTACATTAGAAGTATTTGTGGTGGTACGTGGACTTCTCCTAGGTGGATTTGATAAATCACCATTTGAAGGCGATGCATGATTATTGCCTGAAGTGTTTGGCGTGTTTCTGGGGCTGCGACGAATCATCTCGATGTAATTCTTTTGTACCCACAAACAAATAAAACAAACAAATCTCCAAACAACAACTACAAACTGTAACAACGTCTTCAAATTATGTGGATTTTTATAGTTGGGCGCCAATGTAATATGAGGGGATGAGCATGAGATGGTTCTGCTTTCGGCTTATTACAATTACTTTTATGAAGAGGCTGAACAGACGTTTTCCGTCAAATTCGCCTACTTATATTTATGTGAAAGAATTCTTGACAGACGTTATACGTCAAATCTGAATATCTTCCAAACGTAATATTATTTATTAAGGAATATAATTTTATAATTACTTCCCCACTTATCACCAATTAAAAGCGGGTATGTTTATTTTATTATGTCTTTATTGAACAAGATTCGCAAGCAGAATGCCAGAATATCGACAGATCATCGTTACTTATAGGAATATTACAATGTAACAAAATAAAGTTAACGGGATCAAAATAAGACAAAGAGAAAACATAAATGGATTACATGTTGATTTGTTGTTGCAAAATTACGAATTGAGTGTTTCATTAACAAATTGAGTGAAACTATAATTATAGCAAAATGAGATTTTGTCAAATGAGTATAATGGAAATAATAACAATCATGATCATAAAAATAGCAGTGATATAATTAAAGTAATTTCATTTCAATTTAATATGATAAATTAAATAAAGCTATAGTGATGTGAACTAAAATATATTTTGGATGAGAGTCAGCACGTTACAGTATTAATTTTCCTTTAGAAAACCAACAACAAAACCAATGTAGAAAAATAAATTTCCTTTTGTAGTAGTTGTATCATTCTCCTCCTCTAACCACAATTTTAGTTTGATGTTTTGTTTTATATTTTTTTTTTCTGTAGAAAATTCATTTCATTAACCTTCCCTTTACCACCTAATTATCATGGATCCCACTAAAACCAATTAATAACATCTCCAAAAATTAATCTGCATTTAATTATGCAGATATTATTAACCAAATATTTTGATTTTTAAACATTTTTGGCAGCAGTAAAAAAATACTATTTTTAGTAGTTCATATTTTTTTTGGCGTAAAACTGTAATTTTGTGAATATCCCCATTTACAATTTTATTTGGTAGTTAGTATCCTTTTTTAGTTTTTTGTAATTCCAATACTAAATGGTTTGAGCGAATATCCCCGCTCAGCTCAAATAGCTTAAATTCCAGTAGTTTTGTTGTATCCTTTGGTATTTTGTTTGTTGTTTCATGTAGTCCACCCAGAATTGTCTACATAACCCTGATATCCCCCCTCAAAAAAATTTTCAAAATCTAAAATAATAAATTGTTTTCATTTCCTTATCAATATTTATCTCTAAAACAAAACAACTCTGTAGCTTTACTACTAAAACTCTAGCGGCAAGCAACAAATATTTTTTTTAGATGCCAGCCAACAGCAAACAAAAGAAAATAAATTAAAAGCCAAAAAACAAAATTATGCCAAGCAACCGAAATAAAAACAAACTGAAAATCAGCCACAAGTACGCAAGCGCCAGCCATTTAAATGCAGTAGTAATCAAAACTCAGTTATCGTCCATCTCTAAAACCAAAAACCAAAATCAAAACCAATAAAACAGATCGCCACAGATCGTTTCGACTTGTAAATATTATTCCTCTCTCTCTCTACTCCCCACCACCACAACCACCTCCACCACCACCACAAACAAACAAACCCCCCCACCACCACTCAAAACAAAAACAATATACCAAAAAAAAAAAACAACAACTAAGCAAACAAGCAATCCAAACCAAAAATTGCTAGTTAATACCAAACACTTTTTTATGCTCTCTACTCCTATTCCTCCACCTACTCCTATTCCTACTCCTCCACCACCACCACCAACTTATCCTATACCTAATACCTGTCTTTTTTCCTTATCTCTATTGTATGTATCTTCTTTGTATAATATGTAACCTGTATGTTGTCAATGGAAGTTCTAAGTAGTACTCGTACATAAACAAAGCTTCGCATACTCATCCCTTATTCCCCTTTCCCCTCCCCAAAAAAACAAAGCACCTCTCCAAAACACCTCCTTACTACCTACAGTTTAACCCATCTAAAAAACACCTCCCTCCTCCCCCACAAAACCAACGAAGAAGCATTTCCTCAACGAAAAACCCCTTCGAAAAAAGAAGAGTAATTTTCCCCCCAAAAAACCTCCTCCCCCACCACCCGAAAACAAATATCCTGTGCTTTTCCTTATGCGAGCAGTGTCAGTGTTGTTGTACTTTTTTTCTTCCTCCAGATCATAAAATTTCCTCATTTTCTCAAATCATAGCTGAGGCTAGGGCTGTTAGGTTTATATCCAGTTTATATAGGATTTTTTTCTCTCTTACTCTGTTTGATACTCATTGACCTTACCCTTACCTTAAAAACAATACAAAAACCAAAACCAACCTCTTAACTTAACTACCCAACCAAAAGACGCCTACCGTTACGGATATGACATCGGCAAGACCGGCAATTTCCATCACGAGACCCGCGGTCCTGATGGTGTCACCTACGGCTGTTACGGTCACATCGATCCCTACAAAGTATTGCGCGCCACTCACTATGTAGCCGATGCCCATGGCTATCGCACAGTCACACCCATGGAACCTGTCGTCACCTATCCACCCACCAACGATCCCAATGTCAAGAGCACCGGTGTGTTGCTGCAATGGGATGAATTGTATTTCCCCATTGGTTGTGGTAAATTCGAAGGTGGTGTACGCCCCAATATCCCGTTGATCTTTGTCGATAATGTAAGATGGCCGTCGCGGTGCCAAAGAATTAGAAATTTTAACCCCTCATCATGTATTGTAGAAACCCGTTGCTCCCGGATTCTCGAGCTCATCGAATTTGGTATTCAAGGGTTCCGATCAGAAGAGTCCCCAAATCCATAGATACGGTGCCGGCAAGGGCACAGGATTATTGGATGATGGTGCCTCCCGTTTGCAATCGTCGTCGAACCAGGTTGTGTCGGCACTGAAGCCTGGCAGCTACAATACCGGAAATTACAGTGAGAGATTTTGAAAAAAAGCGAAAAAAGCAACGTAGAATGGAGCTAGAACATGGTTTGTTTGTGTGTTACAGATGGCGGTGGTGCACCAGCTGCAGTGCCATATGTTCATGTGACTGGCGCCCAAGGAGGACATGGTGGAGCCGGTGGCAATGGAGGCAATGGTGGCTTCGGAGGTAATGGCGGCTTTGGACCCAACGGTCCAAATGGTCCCAAGGGTCCAAATGGTCCCAAAGGCCCCTTCGGTCCTCCTGGCCCACCTGGTCCACCAGGTCCTCCCGGCCCAACTGGCTTTGGAAAAGGATCGGGATCGGGAACCCCAGGAAAACTTGGTCAAGGCGCAGGATTCGGCGGCTCATATTCAGGCGGTAACCTAGAAGGACAGGCATCGACCGGTTTTCCTGGGGCCATCGGATACACCCAAGGTTAGCATACATACAAGTCAATAAATCAAACAAAACGGAGCTTGGACTACATCTAGATAAAGAAAAGAAAAAGATAAATGAACGAACGAAATCATACACATTGTACATAGTAAGCCGAAGTTAGCCGAACGGACCCTTAGGCCTTTTATATCTTATTTTATATAACTACTACTATGTTTAAGAATAAAAAAAAAATGCTTTCAAGCTTGCCGCGGCACCTGGATCATATAAGAACTAACTAACAAATGTGCATTTGAAACCAAACAAAAGCAACAAAAAAATTCTACCGAAGCACCATACTTTCAGTTCTAAAACCTACCCCAAACCAAATATATAAACATACTATATTCATTTCTCTTCCCGATACCCAAACCTGTCCTTTTTTTTTATCCACCACAATTTCCACATGCACACACACACACCACTACCCACACTAACCTAAGCACCAAAACGAAATCTAACCGCTGCCGGATCCACTGGCTATATCTCTGCCTACCAACCTACCTACCTACCTATGTCTTGCTGGACCATGTAACCAATAGCAATATTAAGGCTATTAAAATATACTCTTGTATGTATCTCTCTCTTATATATATGATGTGTAACAATGTGTGTATGTATCCAAGCTCCGGTTCAAAATAATTTTTATTTTGTCTTTTATTTTAGATAGGAACTAAGCTATTTATATTTTGTATTTTTTTTTTTAAGAGTTTGTCTTTTATTTTCAGCTTGAGAACAGAATTTGTAAAAAGAAAAACAGAAATTGTAAAATTGTTGACGACGCACAGACAAAAAAAAAAAAAACCAGGACCGTAATAGCACCTTAGGGGACCACATAACTCTAGCAGGGATTATATCGTTTAGGGTCACTTTTCCAGGCACTGCAATTTTTTTTTTTGTTATTTTTGCTCAAGCACACTCTTGCATAAGAATATTTACTCTCTATATCTCTTTCTCTCTCTTCCTAAATACATATATATTCTCACATTTTTTATATAAATCTATAAATGCCTATATATGCCGATGGTTTTAATGTTATTGGGACTCTGTTCACTTTCCCCCTTGTTTTTTTATTTGTCTTGAGGTCAATTTTCGTTTTCTTCAATACATGGGAATCATGTGTTATATTCTTCTATATATATTTTATATAAAGCACCGAGTCCCCCTGAATGCACAACCACAACCACAACAACAACAAAAAAGAAAAGAAAAAACAAAATCATAAGCTTCTTCTCACCTGTTCTCAGTACACAAACACACACACACACACACATGCCTATGCACACTACACTTGACAATTGTTGCCCACAATTACACCCAACTCACATTACTCTTGAACTTCTCAATCACTTTATTTATACCTCACTCTCTCTCCCTCTCTCTCCCTCTCTCTCTCTCTTATTTTCTATTTTTTTCTCTCTGGAGTATCAAATTTGTTCTCCAGCTCTTGGTAAATTAATCCTGCACTTTATGCTCCATGCTCCATTCTCTCCTCACCCCACCGGAAAGCCTTCCTTCAGGGCTTTTACTAACCCATACCCTTGGAAACGGGAAATTGTCTTTATTTTTTGGACGGTTTACTTTTTTTTTGGTCAAGCTTATGGTGTTGGGCTTATGCTTTTTTGGCTTACTGTAGGTAATGGGTAACCAATAACCAGTATTCAGTATTTGTAGTTTAATCGACAATAATGACGTTTAATTTTTTTCTTGTGTAACCATAACCTACTTAGTTTCGTACTTAGTTTAGTCCAATAGTAAAAAAAAAATCTTGTTATTGTATTTGTAGCCGTAAAGTAGTCGAGTAACCGAATAACCATTACCATTTTCTGGCAATTGAACTAATTGTTTTTCTTTTTTGTTTTTCCATTGTCCTACTTTTTTTTTTTGCTTAACCCAATTTAGATAATGGTAAATATGAAGATGGAAGATATAAAGGTAAGTTGAACTTAAGCCCCTCTCCCCACCAATGGACCTGGATGATAATTATTTGTGAAATTTTTGCTTTTTCCAGGCATTCAAGAGGGTAAATATTATCATGATAATTCTGGTAAATATGTTCACATTGAAGGACCAACTGGACCACCTGCACCACCATATGTGCACGTAACTGGCCCCAATGGAGGTTATGGCGGTAATGGCGGAAAGGGCGGTGAAGGCGGACGCGGTGATGGCGGCGGCAAAGGCCCCGGCGGTCCAGGCGGACCTAAGGGACCCGGCGGCCCTAAAGGACCTGGTGGACCAAAGGGTAAAATAAAATGACTTTACATTCGCCAATAACACCACAACTAACTTTTCTTTGTTCTCTTTCGAAAAGGACCTCCCGGACCACCTGGACCCCCAGGCCCACCCGGACCTGATGGACCAACCAAACCAGGACCCGGTGGCCCATACGGACCTCCCGGCCCACCCGGACCACTAGGCCCAACCAGACCAGGACCACCCGGCCCACCAGGACCCCCAGGCCCAACCAGACCTGGCCCACCAGGACCTCCAGGCCCCACCAGACCTGGCCCACCAGGACCACCAGGCCCATACAGACCCGGCCCACCTGGACCACCCGGTCCCACCCGTCCCGGCCCACCAGGACCTCCCGGAAAACAACCCCCACCACCACCCAACGGCGGTGACAGAGGCTATCTACCACCCAAAAAAGATGATCCCAGGGAATCGACATACCAGAACAATGGCTACTTGCCACCAAAGGGTAACAATCCACCAACTAGTAATAAGTTCGAATCATACTCTCTAAGCATCAATCCACCAACACCACCAGCCTCGGTCAACAAACCGACCGCTTTTGTGTCCAATTATACGGTGAATAGTAATGATGGTGCACAAAAGAAGGTCACAACCACATCCACCACATATACCACTACCACCAATACCAATAGCAATAGTAATAGCAATACCAATACCTATACCAATAGTAATAAGTCAAATCAATACAATAGCAACAACAACAACAATCAAAAGAATCAAAATAATTATGATGAGAAAACGTTTGATCAAGTACTAACCTATATTCCCCCTTCTTCTTCCACTCCCACTCCCACATCCTCCTACCACAACCAACAACAACACAAAATCACGACTACCACTACCACAACGAACCAAAACGCCAACAACAACAACAAAAACACCTACAATATTATTGGCAACTCAAAGGTCCCGGACGTCGCAACTGAAAAGGACAAGTACTTTAAGACCCATACAACTACAACGACGACGACAACAACAACAAATCAAAATGGTAATAATAACAACTACAAAATACCAACAACAGGTTTGAATATTGACAAGACCACAACAACCACATACGGCACGAATACTAACAAGGACCGTGACAGTAAGGTGACCGTGACAACAAGCACTAACAACTACAATAGCAACAACAACAACAAAGTTACCAGTGGCTATTTGCCGCCACAAACGGCTGGCTATGAAAAGGTGGTTAGCACCACCTCAGGTGGCGGTGGAGGCGGCGGAGGCGCTAGTGGTTTTGGTGGTGGCAACAAAATCACCACCACAACCACCTCGATCACCTCCGGCAATACCTTTGGCGGTCAACCCTTCCAAAAGGTAACCGAAAAAGTCACCGGTAACTATGTTAGCAACAATGCCTTCATAAATCGCACACCCGAACAAAAGTTCCAAACACAAACCCAAACCCAGACCTACACGCCCACGGTGACCGTTAGCAAGACACCATCCACACAGACACAGGTGACCCAAAACAAACAGACCATCACCAAGACCACAACCACTAAGACACAACAGACAGGTACCGCATATCAGCAACAGCCACAGAATGTAACATTCCATCCCACTCTTTCCCAGACAACAACAACAACAACAACTGCGAACAATTGTGCCTGCCAAGCTGACAAGGCTCATTCATCGACATCCTTCAACTCCAATAGCAATCCTAGCAGTTCCTCCTTTAACTCCTTCAACGCCAATCATTTCCAACAACAATTCACGACCGGAAGCGGCTTTGCTGGTCAGGCTCACTTTGGCAACATAATGAACTCGATGGCTTTTCTGCAACAAATTCCCGTTGTGCCTCAAGTGCCCGGTTATCCGGCCTTCTATGCGCCCGACAAAATTCCCAAGGGTGCCATTATTGCCTTTATGCCCGTAGTCATTTTGCCCGAAGCGGCCTATGCCAATTGCCAAGAGAATTTGAACAATAAACAACAACAACAACATGCATTTGATCCCTTGCCCCTGGGTGTACAACCTGCCCCCTTCCCCTACGGTTCTAGTTTGAATTCGATATTCCCCGGTGGCGGTGGTGGCCGCAAAGATCAGTGTATGTGTCCCTGTTCGTGTACACAAAATATACCCGATCACAGTCACAAGAAACGTGAAACCGATGCCGCTGCCGCCCCGGAAGACGAAGCCACAACCGTAGAAGAAGCTGCTGGTTCAAATGCAGAAGCGAGCAATGTTGCCAAGGAGGTAGAAGAAGTCCCGGCATTAGTTGTTGAAAAGGATCTGAAACAATCGGACGAGGTACAATCTGTAATAAACAATGGCGAGGACCAGAGAGTTGCAACTGAGACAAAAACTAACGATACGACAGAAAGCGAAACGACCAATTAAATCTAGCGCTAGCATAGCTGCTGAAGACGACAACACACGACGTTTGAGTAAGGATTTCCCCCCCAACGAACTCCCATCCCAATCCCGTCCTGTTCCCGTTTTCCCGTCTTCCTATCCAGTATCCCACTCCCATGGCCCAGATGTGTCTCGCCCTAAATGCAATCAATCCCAGCCCGTACAGATCCTGTATCCCCTACATCCTGATCCTGTTCCTGATCCTCCCACTCCTACCTCCTCCCATACTCCCAGAGTTCCTGTTCTACTAACTCGAATGCAAACACATTTGTTTAATTTTTAATTTTTTCTGTTTTTAACATTAAATCGCTCGCTCGCTTTGTAAAAAATGTTCTCTTTCTCTCTAGCCACACCCCCTTTTTATTTTGTTTAATTGTCATTTATTATTTTTTTATTATTATTATATGCTTGTAATTATTATTATATTATTATAATTTGTTACTAAATCTAATAAGTATTCGAAGAAATGAAAATGCAAACAAACATCTATAAATATCGACCAGCATTGCAAAAAAAAAAAAAAACAACTACCATTTTACCACCTACCAACTATCACGCCCCCGGTCAGTATCGATGCGACAACGCCATCATCAAAACGAAGGAGATTAAGCTATTGCTCTAAGTCTATCTACCCTATCTACCTAATATCGTATTTAGAAATGTGAAATGTTGTTCATTATTGTCTACGTAATTGTATTTTAAAATAATTTTTATTTTTGTTTTATTATCATTACCATATATTTTTTTTTAATTTCTAGATAATAGTTTTTATTTAATTCAAAAGAAAAACAACAAAAATCCCCAAAAAAAAAGAGAATCTACTTCATTAATAATGAAATCGCAACGTATTTTTTTTTGTTAATTTAATAGTAGAAGAGGATGAAGAAGAAATTCACATTTCTTCGAACGACGAAAAACTTGAAAATGCAAAAAAATAAAATTGTTCAAAAAAAGAAAAACAATGTAAAAATGCAATTGGTGTTTTTATTTGGGGTGGGGAAGGGGGGGTATGCAGATTTATGCTTCAGATACATGGAGCATAGTAACAATAAGCCTAGTTGATTAAATAAATGGTGGGGGCCGCCATAACAGCCGACGGTCGCTCTCAGCTTTTATTTATCGATCGTGGTATCAGAATAAATGCCGAATATTATCGCGAAAATATTCTGGAGGGTGTTTTAAAGCCTTGCGCACGCAAACATTTTGACCGCAGACCTTGGACATTCCAACAGGACTAAGCACCCGCCACCCAAGAATGGTTACAAAATGATCTTCCTCGCTTCATTTCCAGCGCACAATGGCTACCAAAAACTCCGGATACCAATCCGTTGGACTATTGTGTCTGGAGTATTTCGGAAAGCAAGGCTGGCACAAAAAAATAATTTCATCCCCTTAATATTATGTGATCATCTTCCCCAACAATAGGCTTCAATACTGACCGTAACTCCATGCAACATTTATCGAAAATTGATTACAAATTAACATGGACCTACGGACTAAGACCACAGATAGCTGGATCGACTCAACTTGGGGAGTTAGGAAGATTGATACACGAAATTTTGTTACAAATTTTTGGCAAATCAAACTTATGTTTAGGGTATAATAGCACACCGAAATTATATAAAATACGAAACTGGTATTTAGGTACCATAGGCTGAGGTACAGCTGTCGACAAAGTTGATGAGTCAGCTCGTGATATTTCCTTCCTTTGTTAACAGAAATAACAACTATATATATATATATATATATATCTATATATATATATATATATATATATATATATATATATATATATATATATATATATATTAGAATAAGTTTAGATTTGTTCGAATTCTGGCCATCAAACGGCCAATGAAACCGTCACACGCTGCCCGAATGTTGCTCTGCGGTTTATGCCCCATTCCCGGCGAAGTGCTTGCTTGACGTGATCGACACTTTGGTATTTTTTAGTGCCAACCTTGCTTTCCAAAATACTCCAGACACAATAGTCCAACGGATTGGTATCCGGAGTTTTGGTGGCTATTGTGCGATGGAAATCAAAGCGAGGAACCTCATTTTGTAAACATTCTTGGCGCGTGCTGAGTGCGTTGATGCTGAGTCGTGTTGGAATGTCCAAGGTCCGCGGCCAAAATGTTTGAGTGCCCAAGGCTTTGATACACCCTCCAGAATATTTTCGCAATAATATTCGGCATTTATTGTGATGCCACGGTCGATTACACACGATCATTTTGTTTGTTTACAAACTGCTGGACAACGAATGTTTTCTCATCGGAAACAGAGAAAACCAAATTCGGCAGTTCACCACTTTCGGCCAAGCGAAGCAACTTTTTATCTCTTTTGAGTCTATTTTCTTTCTGTAGCGGTGTAAGTTCTTGCACTTTTTGGAATTTCAATGGCTTTACCCCGAGCTCATTTTTCAATATTTGCCAAATGGAATATTGCGATACGTTCAGCTCACGAACCATTTTTCGACCACTACGATGCGTGTTTCGATCAAGTCGCTTCATTACTTTTCGAACCATTTCTGCTGATGTTGCTGTTTTCTTCCGTTCACTTCCTTGAAGTCGGGCTACGCTACCAGTATCATGGTAACGAGCGATGGTACGAGGCACAAAAGATTTATTCACATTTAAGTGCTGGATTTCTCTAACGATAGCCCATTGTGGTTTTCCAGCTAAATACAAAAAATCACACTATCACGCTTGAATTCCATCACGAATAACTTTTTTCTGGAAAATTCTCACCAAAAAATTCTCACTGGAATAATTTTAACAGCTGTAGGACGAGTGGCATAGAAATGTCAGCAGTGAAGTTGGTTACAATTTTTTTTTTTTCATCTCACCCTGTATGTTTCATCCGATTTGGTGCTTAAGTCCCTCAAATTCGTGATATGCATTCGACAACAATGACATTTGGTAGGTCGGAAATACCTCTGCTAAATTTTATCGAGAACGGCTAAGATTGGGATATAGCTGCCATATATATCCTTAATCCGATTTCAGGTTTATTGTTCAAATAATTGCTAATATCAGCCGAAATGAAGTGAATTTCGGGACATACTTTCCCATTTTGTGGAACCTGGCTCCGATATATATTTTTATACCCTCCACCATAGTATGGAGGGTATATTAAGTTTGTCATTCCCTTTGTAACACCTCGAAATATACATTTTAGACCCCACAAAGTATATATATATTCTTGATCGGCATAAAATTATACGTCGATTTAGCGATGTCCGTCCCACTGTCCTTCTGTGGAAATCACTCTAGTTTCCGAACGAAATGAAGTTGATTGATAAAATGTTACTCAAATGTATATTATGTCTGCACGTTGTCGTATATACCCTAATATAAAGGCTTCATTCGGTATTTTTAAGATTTAAACAGAAAATTGCCAAAATTGTTCCAAATGGTGGAGGGTATTCAAAGATCGGCCCGGCCGAACTTACAGCTTTTTTACTTGTTTTTGAATGTAATCTCTCTCCATGTGATATTATGCAATCTATAGCAAATTATTATTGCTATAAAGCCAAATGTTGACAGGTGGTATGATTTACTTGAAATAAATCCTTTTGTTACGTGAGCTCTACATAATATGCATAGTGGTGCAGGGTATCATATTGTCGGCCTGCCCGACTTTTGACTTTTCCTTACTTGTTTTTTTTTTATATTTTACACAAAACAAATTAAAAAGTATCAGTCGGTATTGCCGACAGATATATACCGTCAGCCTATGTTCGATTATTTAAATATAATTTGGCTAGAGTTACGATTATTCAAACGTTTGACCCTCTATAGAGCAGGTTCCGAAGGAATAGGCCAATATTGTCCAATTTGTATCGGTCCCAAAAATATGATATAAATATTGCGACGTTCCTGGCATGGATTATATCGACTTACTCCTTCACTTTATATGAGTTATGTAATAATTTTTAGAAATTGTTAAAATGTGCGTGATGTACCAGAGAGAATCTACAGAAATATTTCATTTTTATACTTCATCTAATACAAATAAGAAATATTGAAATATTATGTCCAATTTTTGGCGAAATCATAAATTCCGATAAATTTCATATTCATATCTGGAAATATTTGGGCATAGCAAATAGCAAAGAATTGCTAAATTGTATGACAGATAAAATTATTGAAATTGTGACCTTTTGTGGGTGAGGTGCCAGAAGGGGTTCGAAGATATATATCAATTTCACAACAGATCTTGTGCTAGTAAAAGTTTTTCCTATCTGTGAAATTTGCAGAGAGTCGTATGCTTATTTCGCTTTATTTGAGCATTGGTTCGATCTATACCATATTTATAACAGATCTTGTGTTGGTAGAAATATTCAGATTTGAAAATTCTAAATGGAATCGGATATTAATTTGGCGTTTTATGAGCTAAATGGGAACGTACCAGAAGGTGTGGACCGATATATTCTATGTTAACACCAGATCCAGGGATGTGTGAAATTTTAAGACGTTCGGATCCTTACATCACATTTTATAAGAGTTAAAATTATTTAAAAATTAGACCCTTGGTGGGGGAGCTAATCGATGGAGTGGGCCAATATTGTCCATTTTCGCACCTGACCTAGCACTGACGCAAATATTATGATTTGCAAAGTTGGGGCAAAATCGGATCATCCTTTCTCTTTCTGTGCAGAAAATATATTTTTTTGAAAATTTGGACCTTTTGTGGGGGAGGTACCAGAAGGAGTGGACCGATGTATTCCCCCTTCACACCTTGGGTTAATAAAAATATTAGGATGTGTGAAATTTGAAGACAATCGGACTCTTACTTCACTTTTTATAATAGTTGTAATTATTCAATATTTTGACCGTTTGTGTGGGAGGTACTTGAGCCCAGCCAGACAGACGGGCGGACATCGCTAGATCGACTCCAAATGTCATGAAAAGGATTTGGTCCAAAGAGACCTGGGGTCTAAAATCTTTATTTCGACTAAGCACGTTTTGACAGTATCAAATGATGTAACCCACTGTAGCCATATGGCTGAGGGTATAAAAATTAATTTCCTCCTTGATAACCTACCCAACCCCCAACTCCCCAAAATGTAAAAAAAAATCATTTTTGTGTATGTCCCTATAACGTACTATAACTCCGACCTTCCTTTATCTAACTCTAACTCATTTTCAAGTTTTTCATTTCTCTAACTTTAAATTACATATTTGGAAATCCATTAACTTTTCGAACATGTTCCTATAACAATCAGTAATTTGTTGAGTATAAAACGCTTATCCGCATATTTTCTCAAGAATATTATTTTTTTTTCCTCACAACCAGCCACAATGGCATTTCGTATTAAAATTGTTTTATCCAGCTTGAAGAAACAACTACATTTTGGTATTGGCCACAGGCATTTTGGGTCGCAGCCGTGCAGTCATTGAAAAATGTCCTGGTGTCCTTGAAGGAAGACGTTTTTTGTTTGGTGGCATGTCCCCCTTATGTGTTGGCATGTTGTTGCTGTCGTCTCTGCTGAAGGCT